GAACTTCAAAGAACGAATTTCGATCCCTGGCCCAATCTTAATGCCACAAAAAACAGTTATTTTTTTATGTTGAAATAAACCTTAAATATCTGTCAAATCAATTTCTGATCGTTTTTTAAAGAAACCATCTGAATACTAATGTGCATTAGAAAGCAGTAATAAAATAATATACCTGTGGTCAACAACCAGTCTTTATACAATCTTCTTCTCACTTAAAAATTTTACTCTGTGGCCCAAGTATCTTGTGTTACACTTCTCTCCTCAGTCTGTACAACGTTACTATGCATCTCCTCCACCTACCTCATGGTTTTGACAAGAACTTTTCTACTAGTATAAGAAATAAATTTTCTGAAGGAAGGTATAACAAAATGTAACTACTAGCATCTAGAGTTGTTGGTGTTGTTGGTTTGCATGCTGCCAACAAGACTCCTAAAGCAAGCTCAGTATTATATTTGAATATTTCAAAATACTAAATGAAAAAGAATATGCATCTATAACTTTATATGATCCGAAGAACCATGGACTACATTACCTCTTTTTCCTGGGTCGGGTTGAAGCAGGGGTAGTCCTCGCTTATTGGCATACGGAAGGCTATACCATACTTGGAGTTCCTGTCGAGGGTGGATTACTCGTGTAGTTGTGAATATAAAGAATGACCCTGCTGACTCAATATTAGATTCTGATCTTTGAAACTTTCAGCTCCCTGCACAAACCGCATCCAGTTAGATGAATCTATAACAGCATTGTCGAAATTGTGAATTTTTATATCCTCATTTAAATTCCTTTTAAACGCCAAATTCCATTATAATTAAACAAGGGATAACAACATAACAAATAATGCACCAGCTGCAGCACATAATACCACATCATTACTGATACATAATAAAGACTTGACCACTTACTCTCACTTTCAATGTCAAGTTTCAACATGGCTCCAGTTTCCGATTCCACCAACAACTCAAGCTGTGGTTCTTCTCCCCCAGCCAAAATCACGTGAGGTTCATCTGCCTTTACCAGTACACCCTCAATGGGCCCAAACTGAGTTCGCTTTGGAATTCTTTTCCGAGCAAATACGCCATACACTGTTCCAAATATATGAATCATAAATCAGAGATCTTTGCCACATTATCAAATCAAATTTAATATATGTAACAATATAATGTATGGCATCCTTCCTAATCCCATCAGCAATGGATTAATGTATTAAAAATTGTAAATGAAAATGATAACACACTAACAGCAAACTAGAATTTTTCAAAACACCTCAATCCTCAAACTTAGAGCACAGAGAATTTTCCAAAATATTATCATCTTGCAGGCCTGGAATATTAAGTTAAAATAACAAATGTAATACACAACATAAATTAATAAACATTAACAAATGCCATAAATGTAAAAGATTTAATAATTTTCCGCACCAAGTGCACAACATATTTACAGTCAATGTGATATGACACAATTGTGATGTTTCACATCAATCTGACCTAAAATACAAGCCTTTTCAATATATGCAAATGTTTTCAATTTGATGTTATTTTACAAATTGAAGGTTCAAAATTCAATGGCTGAATGGTGAAACTAACAACTGCAACTGCAGTCACATGACTACATGTTACACAATGAAAAACATGTATGACAAAACACCAAAGTTCCATCATACAATTTCATTGCATGCACTGAAGATTTTAATGCTGTTAAATTGAATACATATGCATACAAAGAGATATTCTTATAATTATTTATTATTAATAATTTTTTTTTACTTGGAATCTGTACAATAAAATGAATTACCAAATGTTCATAACCACAATTTTTTTATATTTGTTGCAGCAATATTTAACTGTACTTACTCACCTGGTGATCCATCAGATGTTGTCCCAACTTTGTTAATTGCCAAATAAGAGGCTGGTAAAGTGGCCCAGGCCCTTGAAGGGACGGGCTTGTCACATATAGTCTGCACTCGATGCCGAGGGCAGCCATGCTCATACGAGTTGTGGCATTCTTCACACCCTTTAACAGTCATACAATATTTTGTGGCACCAAACTGAACATCATCTCAACTTTAAAAAACGTCATCCTTACTCTACATCACCCTGCCAGTTCACGTGACAAGCAACGCAAACCAAAGTTAGTAAATATATCTACACGAAGTTGACGTAATATCTTCAGAAAAAATAAAATGTAGTACAGGAAAAAACACTGCAGTTACGAATCACATGAACCACAGTCTTTCTAGAGTAGCTAGCAGTCACTCAGTTTGTCAACTAACGCTATACCTTTTACAAATCTGAGAGTTCATTCCCGTGTCTACAAGTACCCGCAACTGAAATCAATTGTGAGCTAGATGATGTCACTTGTACTCATGAAATCAGAATATTATAACCAGTATACACCATTTTAAAGAAATTGTTCCTTAATATCACGTCCAGTTTCAAACTTACAGTATCAACCATTACCTGCTTACTTCATGAGATAGAAAATAACATATTATGTACAGCCCAGAAAGTAATTCATCACATTAAAAAAACACGCTATAGGAGACAAATTAAACTTTCATTCATGCAAGCTTCGACACTGTCCCATCTAACTGCAGAACTTCAAAACCTTCTGACAATGCAAGATCATATAAACTGAGATGGTGTTACAAACAAAACACGCATTCGTGTGATGCCCTTAGGTGGTGAAGTCACAATCCCAACACTTAGTAATTCTGAAGGAAGGAGTGATTTTAATGCAAGATGCCAAGAGGACAGACGAGTTCATTACAGCACTGAATGTTTTCTATTTGGAAACTTAAAAAAGATGACTCTCAGCAAAAAGCTGAGGATGACAAATTTATTTGTGAGATGAAGAGCCTTTGATCTAACAAAGTACCCAGGTCATCGACACCCCTGCTTCTTGGTGGTACTAGATCACATATTTGAGTGGAACTGAAAAACAGAGCATGCAGCCAACAAACTCAGTATTCGTGCAAGTTTAAACAATTTATAATAAATTTTAGCTTGGACGGGGGTGGGGAGAAAGAATGGTATATCAGTTCTTGGGCAACCCACATAAAAACAAACATCACAATGCTAAAACAATTGTGCCTAATCCACAAGACTTCTACATATGTCAGAATACCATCACCTAATCCGATAGCTCTTCAAACAATGTGGTTATAGTTTTAAAATTTTTTACAATATGACTGAAAACTATTAAAATACACAAGCATTTGAAAAGGTACAGTAAAAAGAATTATGTGTGAAAGAATACCAAAATAAACTAACGCAGCGCTCTGCTAAATAAGGAGTTGCATTCATTAGTAACACTTGCAATGAATCTTGTTACAGCAGTGAAATTAAGTCAGTAATCATCAAGCATGAACACACTGAATTAAGCACATACTCTTAATTTTGTCCTTACGTTTTATATCACCATTGATCCAAATGTCCTCAGCTTTAAGAAACAGAGAAAACAAACACATTTTAGCACCGACTTCTACAAATGTAAGAACAAAAACACCTTAATGACTAGCATCCCATTTGACATTGCTAAACACCAAAACTAGAAAATACTGGAGTAAGAAAAATAGGACGTGTTTAGGGAAGATTCTTTACCAAAAGCAGAAGAATGCAACCCACCAGACAAAATATGAAAGCTTAAAATAAACTCACGCCTCAAACTGACATTTCAGATCATGTAATTACTGACCTGCTCAAATCCTTCAAGGAGATGCCCAGTTTAATTACCCTCCAACTGAAGAAGTCTGCATTAATATTTCAGACAAGAAGATCCGGACGGGCCAAAACCCAGATTACACCCGCCATTTATGGGTGTTTAGATTAGTATAATTAATTAAATCACGTTTATCGCACTATTACCCAGCAATTCATAACAAGAACTAGATTTTTAAGAATAAATTAATGTACACATGATAATAACATAACAATCTCTCGTTATATAATACGAAAAGAAGGCTAACATTTAATTCAAGCCACACATTACTACCTGCTTCAGGCAGTTTCCAAACCCATCTTCCTGATTACAAGGGATTACATTTTCAGCAGATCTACTTACAGAAACTCTTTGTATCATCTTTGAAATCTGCAATTATCTCCTGCTGCGGACTGCGCGCCTGAATCTGGTGACGTTTTGATCTCCTAGGCAACATACTGTTATCCTTCTTCACTATGGTCTCTGCATGCCCATTCAACAATACATTGACAAAGTTGTCTGGGGCAGGAGCCTTTAGTCCAGATGCTGCGACACCGAGGTTCATGTCCACATCTTCACCCAACAAGGGATGTTCTACAGAAGACAGTGCTACATTTACAATTTGAAGGGACATTTAAAGAAACAAAGTTGTCTTTCTGAATCATAGCTGCACTCTTGCACGGATTAATGTTAGAAAAAAAAGTCATAGACCGAAGATATACGGCAATAAAGTAAATCCATTATCATATACAGATCAAGACACAGAATATGAAAAATGCCCACAGGGAACATGTTAGAAGCATAGACACAGTTAACAATGAATGAGATATGACAATCTACGAAGGCGCTGAAACATAATCTAATATTTGTTTCATTATTGTAAAGTTCATCCTGCTGCGTGTTCTAGAAATGTTGCCACCTTCTTAAAAATATAAATAGCTGAAAAAAGCACTATATACTACAACCGTAGGTCGAGCGACTTACCTAACCTACGAACTTGGCTCTCGATACCGCCATTCACTTGCGATTCTAACAGCTCGGCATCAATTAGATCTTGTTGCTGCTCAGCGGTAACGTTTAAAGAAATGTCCAAGGGTAAAGTCGCGCCACCACGAACAACTGAATGATGCCTTACTCTCAAATCTCCCTCTTCGATCACCAGCCCTGCGCAACAGAACGCCACAAAACTCAGATTGACGCTTTGCACGTCTTTCAAGTGAATCAGAATCTGTTTTAATAAAGATATCTCTACAAACTGAACTTTAACAGCTTTTAAAATTTCCTACAGTCTTACAACTTGCAAAAATTTGTACCTTGTAACAGAAAATTTACAATCTCAGATGGTTTTACATATTTTCATGAACTTCTAACAAACGTAGAGCAATGGTTTTTGCATATTTCCATCGACATTTAACAAATGTAATGAGAACAATCAGGAACCTTGAGATTTGAAAGTATCAAGCACATTATCCAGCTGTTCGACATAGTACGCTTGGCCTGGATCCGAACTGTAGGTAATACTGGATCCATCACTACTGCTGATCAGCAGCTGCACACGGCCACTCTCCGTCTTCAGTCCTCCACTCATTCCATGGTACTGCTGACTGCCATCTGGGGCACCACCAACCAACTGGAAATTGAAAATTGCAAGAGACATAAATGAAACATAATCAGCATAGATGAGACAATCACTAATGATGGTTAACCAAGATCATTAATCATACCAAGAAAAATGTATGACAATTGTTCATAAACAAATTCAGAAAAACTACACGAAAAGAACATAAGTAAGACAACAAAAAAGGATTAAATATTTTATCCTTGATTTATTAAAAGAATTAGATTAACTTAACATCAGGAAAGGACTATAATTATCTTAAACATTCAAGTAAATGACACCAATCATAAGAACAAGAAAACTATGCTAAAGATGAAATTACACAGTACCTGGCCTGTATTCTGTTGGATCATCAGTTCGCTGGTGGAGTCGACTCTTCCAGGAGGAGTGGTCACTGCTACAGCCACTGTCACATCATCATTGCCATGAAAATTAGATGGTGTAGCTGACATGGAATCCACCAGAGGGCCAGTTGACGATGACACCACATAGTTGTCCGTAGGTGTCAGGGGTGGCTGTAGTGGAGAATGAGGGGGTGAAGTCCCCAAGATACCACCTGAAGTTGAAGATGCAGCAGCAGCAGCTCTGAAGTATGACGTTCCAGACACAACCTGCCTCAGGAGACCTTCCCCTGTTGACGTACGATTATCAGACAGTATCTGAAGGGGTGAAGTAGGATTCACATAACCGTGACCAACAGTTGTGGTATGCACCTGTGTAGTGTCTATATATGGGTTACCTGAGGACGGCGAAGGTGGAAGGGCATTGGCCGGAGAAGAGTTGATGACCGGACTCACAACCTGGCTACTGGGAAACGGCGAGCTTGGATTAGATGAAGTACCTGTTCCGGCAGCAGATGAAGCCTCACCAGTGACTACAGCCAAAGCACTTGTACCTGTACCTGTTATAGCATACACTGGTGAGTATCTAGCGGCTGAACTCATGTTAGGATCCAGGGGACTCACGCGATGCTCAAACTCTGATAAGGATGATGATGGTTGAGGGGAGAATGGTGCAACTGGCTCAAAACTTGAGAATGCCGAATTGCCATAATCACTTGATGCTTCTTCGACATACTCAACCTGGACAAAAAGAAACAAATTGATTTTGAAATAAGCAATATATATATATATAGAAGCAACTGTGGAACATATTTTCAAAAAATGCCACACAAATAATTATGAGTCCTCTTCTCTAAAGCTTGACATTTATTCATTACAATCCTATTTTCAGAGAAAGCCTTGGCCAATTAAACCACTAAATTTGGGGAATGCTACCATGAAGTTCATAATCTTTTATCTTCCTGCCTGCAATCTATAAACGTAAACATTAAAATATTCAAAACTCCTTACGTTCTAAAGCAGGGGTTCTCACCCTCTTTTGCTGGCATACCACTAATTCTAATTTAACACATTAAATGTACCGCTAACCAAATGCATCCAGGGAAAACTTATTTATGTCAATATTATCTTTTGATTTTCTTACTTAGTTTGCATATCACTCAACATTGGCTCGTGTAACACCAGTGGTACGTGCACCATAGGTTGAGAAACACTGTTCTAAAGGAATACCTGCCCTAGACTCATCTGCCCCTTTCACAACAAGCAATTCATGCATTGTCACACCCTCTACCTCATTTTCAGACAAATATATTGTGATGTATTCTGTTGTCATGTCCTTACATAAGCAGCTTAAATAAATCTAGGCAGTGCTGGCAATAGCTTTCGATCTATCTTTTTGTGGTCCTCGTGCACCCATGCGAGGGGCTGGGAAGTATATTCCAATCCTCTATCTTCCCATCTAAATATGGGGGAATTACACATCCTGCTTGTCAACATTTCTGGCGGTTTTCTCATTCTCTGTAAGACTCAAATTTAATCCCTTACTGTATCATTATAAAGAATTATGGACTGTATATTTTCATTGCTCAGAGCTGTACATTCTTTCGTTGTATGTCACTCTGTTTACTTATTTTGTCTTCCTGATCATCTGTTTCACTGTGCTTGTTGAATTTTGTTCACCTGTTCCAATGCCTCAAAGCTGAACAACTGTATCTATCGACATTTCAGTTAATGCATCCATTTTTATGTTTATCGTACACTATCAGGATGATCAAATAACGCAGAATGGGATGGGCAGGGAATGTAGCATGCATGGAGAAATGTGAATTGCATATAAGGTTTCAGCTGGAAACCTTGAAGGGGAGAGACCACTTATAAAACCTAGGCATGAATGTGAGAATAATATTAAAAATGATCATAAATAAATAGTGTGGTAGGGTGGAAATTTCTCAGGGTCAGAAATGGACAAGTACCATGCTCCTGTGAATATGATAATGAAACTTCAGATTGTGTAAAAGGCATGGAATTTACTGAGTATATGAATGGCTACTGACTTACCAATAAGGACTCTGCTCCACCAAATTAATTACTCAGGCCCAACCAGCACACTAACTTGAATGACACACATTGTTTGCACATTAAAGGTCATAGTGTCAACACAAATACTAATAAAGTCTTCATCTGTTAATTCTACAAACTCAAGCTCTGATAAATGCTCCCTCCTTTCATAGCCACTAAGTTTTTTTAATAACGTACTGCCTATCTGTAAGCTAGGAAATTTTGTGTCATCTCTCATCATTACAATCATGCAGGCAATTCAACTGAGAGAACTAATTATAATTCTGAACAATACTGCAATCTCCTCAATAGTTACAGATTTTCTAGGTTCCCATCCAACAAGATACAAACCCAAGTTACAAAGGCATGTTCTTGACATACTTTCATTCATAAATCTCAATGAAAATAGTTATCTTACAGACTGTTATCATTACGTATAACACTTGTGTAAAATATTTAATGTTAGATGAGTACCTTTCACTCCTCCAATTAGACCATAAGCTCTTATAAATTCTGAAACCAGTGTGTATGTATAAGTTTCACAAAAAGTTAACAAGGTATACAGTGTTCATATATGTCAACATTATTCAGAAATTACACACATCCTAACAGCTCTTTCTAATGTAATGCTCAAACTCACTGTGAGGAACAGCAAACGTGATGTTGAAGCTGCAGCTTTCCGAACAGAACTTTCCAAATGTGAACTAGTAACAGGAGACCAATCATCAAGCTCTGCTTCTGCTTGGCTTGTCGGCATAGTAGGTCCAGTGATCCCATTATCGTTTTCAACATCCCCAGGTGCACCCTGGGGGTCGGTTCTTTCCATTAAGTGTAGATGGTGTAACACAAGTTCATCAATGTAGATGATACTGCACAAACAGCCTACATAAATGGAAAGCTATAAGAATGTTGGAATTGTCATTAATTGATAAGTACATAAATGTGGAATTAGAACTTCCATGTCAGATGTCAGCCATACTTTCAAGGCCTGCTCTTTTCAAAGCATATTTAGAGCCTCTTGTAAGTACCCTTTACGAGCAACTACGATAATGTGAGGCACAATCTCGAAGCAAAGTCAAACGTGCACCTTCTTAGTTAATTTCAAGTCAAAAAGCTTCTGCTTGTGCGGAAAACAGCATGGACTATACCATCTTGACAAAGGGAATTCGGGGTGAACTAATATGTCGGTAGGGAAGAGAACAAGGTTTAGCGGAAGAAAACAGACCTCCGGTATACTTTCCTGGCAAATAATATGTATATAATATATTTTAAACATCTGTTTGTTCAGGAAATTCAACATCATTAAGTGCATAACACTAAAAGAATGAAATTATACCCACTGACCATACCCACCTTTGTTGAAGCCTACAACTTTCTCACGAATTGCGGAATGGAACGAGATTTGGCGATGCACCTTAGCAACAAGCAGACGACGAACAACCATAGCAACCATACGAGTACGTAAACATGTCTCCTTGATTTGTGGTTATGTTACTGAGGCGTTGAAAATGTAAAATTAGCTTATTGATGAACAGTACCAGAAGATATATTTGATCATAAGAAAAGTCAGAATTATATAAACTCGAAAAATCTACGAAATCAGAATTATTCAGCACAACATACTTTAAATACTCAAATGGATGACAAAAATACCAAAAATTTGAAAGGGTTCGTAAGAAGTATCTCTCAAACCAAAATAAGTGACGAAGCTTCTGTTACTGACATGACTCATAAACCTACACGATTTGATCAAATATTAAAATTTAAAAAGAATAATATTGTTATTCCAGGTTAAAACAAAAAAAAATCTGTTAAAATATTGTTACACGAACACAGACATTGAAGAAGATAAAAGGTAACTTTAAAATCAATACAAGATGTTATGGTTTCTAAAATTGGAATGAATTATTTTACACAATTTGCTTACAATCTTCATACATTACTTTCTTTTCAGATTTATTTTGCAAGAAGAAGTGGTTACACTGAAAATATAAAAATAGCTGTTTATCACTGACAAAGAAATAAATTCCTTCAAGAAACAATTAAAATTAAATACCATGAAACTATCAGATCAATTTAAAGGTTGTCATTTGACTGACGATGAAAGGAAGAGGCTTACAAAGAATAAAAGTATTTCTGTGACTGATGTGAAGAATGTAGTTACTTCATCTTGTGATATGTCAAACCGAAAATTATTCCTAAATATGAATGTTCATAATCCAGCGTATGAAATTAGTCATAACCCAATTTTGGACATATTTATGACTGATACTTTCCACAATAATGAAGAAACAAAGGCTGTTACAAATATAGATTTAGCAACAAACTATGGAGTAGTGAAAGGAATTGTTTCTGAATATACAGAAAATTCAATGAAATTACACTGTAATGAAGGATTTGTGTTTAACAGAGAAGACTTGGTATCTTCAGTATGGAAGAAATGGAAGGTGTTCACTATTAATAAGAAAATGAATAAGGCAAAAGACCAAACATATGAGATAAAGAAAGAATGTAAGAAGGAAAAAACACAGATAAATAAGAAAATTCTGAGGAAGTATTGGGATATATGGCTTTGCATGGTGAAACAGAAAAAGAGGACTCTTTCCACAGATCATGATAAACTACAAAGAGAAGAAAAAATAAACAAATTCTTAAAAGTATTGAAAGAACAAAAGCAGTCACTGGCTAGTACAAAGGCACCTGCAATGACAAAAAATTTAGGTAATATTAAGAATGAAACTTCAAGAAATTCAAAATATTCCTATCATAATAAACAAAATGTACAAAATAATGTAGGATTCCAAACCAAAACTTTTCCAATGCATAAGTGTAATGAATACCAACAAAGTCTTGAAGTTCATCTGAAGATAATTGCAGAACAGAAATCTAAATTGGAAGAACAGAGTAAACTGATTAAAGAACTTCAGTTAGCACATTTTAGACTGCAGACAGAAAAATCAACAAAAGAAACTCAAGAAGAAATAAATCATACATTATCAAGTTGTGACCTACGACTGAAACCGAAAGCAAAGCAGGTGAAAAGCAGGCTGTCTACTGAGTACAAACCAACACAATTACCAGAAAATAAACTTGCAGTAGTAAGTTTGCATACGGTCCCAACAATACTTAACAGGATGGAAGAACGTGCACGAGATAGAGAAAGCAGGTGGAAGCTGATTAGAGAAAGAAAACAAAATCTGGCTGAGGTAAAACAAAAGAAAGAAAGAGATGAAAAGAAGAAAAAAGAAGAATATGAGAAGTGGCAGAAAATAGAAGAACTGAAAGAAAATAGAAGACTTGAAAAACAGATGGAAATTAAGAAGAAGAGGGACAGGGAAAAAATGCATAATTTGATGATAATGGCATCACTTCAGTACAAAAAACTGCTCATGAAGAAAGTAATGTTTTCATTCAAACAAGTAGTGGCACTCAATAGGAAGCTGATGGATATAGCAAAGAAATACTATAAAAACCACCTACTCCGTAATTATTTTCAAACCTGGAGAGAACACACCCAGTCAGCCATTAATCTGAAAATGTGCAAAGCTACCGCTTGTTACAACACAGTCTTAGTAAAGAAGGCTTTTAGAGGCTTGTTTCAGGTAAATGAAAACCAAACTGAAAGTCAATGTGAAGTTCCTACTTCAAATGCACAAAGTGGATTTGTTACTCGATTATTATTTTGCAGGTTTACAGTGAGTCTGTTACCAAGAACCAAGTAGCCACTGATTTCTATGACCTTCGTCTGCAAGAACACAGTTTTATAGGTTGGCACCATATTGCTTGCACTGAACATGTGATAACAGTAAACAAACAAGAACTAGCAGCAGTCCACTATAACAGGTAAAGTGATTGTTATGTAGAATGTCAATTGCGATGTGCCATTTCAGTTTTAGAAAAAATGAGATAAACAAACCAATATCTATACATGGAATATAGAACCTTGACCAAATATGCAATATAGTCTGCAGGCCTAACTTGGCTTTGATAAAGTATGACCCTGAAAAAATTCTGATACAAGAATAACAATTTAAATCAATATTTTGAAACAGTGAGCATGAATTTAACCTTCAGTTTAGGAGCGACAAATTTTTTTCTCATCTTAACCTCTAAAGTGCCTGATGAATTAATAAATAAAAAGTTAATTATTTACCTAAATCATATAAATTGATGTGACTTTTTATGTATGTCTGTTGCCTGCAACATTCTGTTTGTAAATTTCAAAACAAGTCAGTTCTGAATGGGTATATTTTGACAAATTTTGTACAGAAATTCCACACTGAAAGTTTCTGAACAAATATGATTTTGAAGCATATTTATCTATTAGTAATTTACACAGATGAAGATGAAAATTCTGTGTCAAACCTTTCAGGTTTAAATCATTTTGCTTAATACAGTAACACTAATATGCACTTAAGGCTGTCAAATAAATCAATGTCTATACCACATCAGTCTATCAGTGCTCCAAACACACAAAGACAGATGTGACATTGATATGAACACACTTCTGACAAACTACACGCTCATCTGATATCAGTAACCACAATTTTGTTCCTGTTTGTAATATAAGTAGGTCAGTCACAAAGTTTTGTCCCAGTTTTCTCAGCAAAAAACTACATAAAACAGCTGAAATTTGGTGTACAGATACTTACATGCATCAAACTTTTATTACCCAGGGTGGGAAAGTTTGAAATTAGTAGACACCAAATTTGATATTATCCACAATTGTGTTCACTCAGAAAAGTAAATGTGGGGCAAAACACTTTCAGTGACCCTCATAGAGGCAGAGTTTATTAATTTACTTACCTGTACATCATTGTGTACCACAGGAAATTGTTAACACGTTGCTTTAAGAGGTGGCAGCAGTTACCTTCAATGATGGAGCTGGAGCGTGAAAAGGAGCAAAGGAAGGAGATATGGCGAAAAAAGGTTCAGGAGTTCTTGCCCGATTTCAAGCCTCTTCTTGTCTTGGATTGAAGTGTTTCAACAAATCAATTGAACTGACCATGTTTTTGTATATGTAACAAAGGGCATTCTTCAGTGTTCATTGTAATGTCTCAAATAAGTGTAACTACAAACTTAATTCAGTTTCAGCCTATTAGCTGAAGTTAACAAACACATCTTGACTTGCATTAATCGGTTTATAAGAAATTGTTAACTGAATTAACACTTTAAAGCCAAACCTCATCTGAATATTACTTAAGTATTCAGTCCGTACCACAAAGAAAACACAACACTTCACCATTGCAAAGATCAAATGGTGAACACTGTTTGAGGAAATAATTGCTATTTACACCGAGAATCACATGGAACACAAAATATAAAGCTATGGCCGTTGAAAAATGTGGGATATATATTTTAGCACTGGGCTTTAAAGGGTTAAACATGTAAAATGAATTTAGACAGAATATTCAGCCTTCCGTTTTTCTTATCTGTGAATTTTTGCATGGCAACTTCTACAATCCCAGAACTACTAGATATTGACTTCTTGAAGCAAAAATAAAGGATAAAGTATATTGTGATTATGTACAAATGGTGTAATATTGTGAAAGATTGTCTTCAACTGTTATATTGCTTGTAATGTATATTGCTTTTATTCGTACTCAGTATCTACAAATGTAATTTTAAGGAAATGGAACGTGACATACACAATTCATAAACAGAGATGAAAGAGTATGAAGATAAAGCCTTATAAAGAGGATGGATACACAATTCTAAGCATCTTTCACTTAAACACAAAAAGGAGGTCGTGACTGGGAAGTTTCATGTCGTACCTGCCTCTATGTCAAGAGCTATTTGGATAGAATGCTGGATGGACCTGAGAGTCAGTCTGGACATTGTGATTACCAAAAAATGCAGGAATGAAAGCTGAGCCGCCAAGTCCAGACATCACTTTATTCACTCAGTTATCATAACCTTAATTTGTGTCAGGTTTGTGAACCTGATATTACTGTTTGCTACTCAAAGACTTTTTAATTCCACAATAAATTATATTATTTATAGACAAAATATATCTAATTAGTGTTACACATGAGTATTATTTTAAGTAGCTAAGAGCATTTATTACATCATTTCAACATTTCAAGAAAAATTCTAACAAACAAAAATGAGATTCATGACAAAAGAAATTAAGTCAACAAATGTGTGTCATCATTGAATCAGTGTTTTAAAGTCCCTTCCTCTGAGGAAAACACATAAATTATAAGTATCTGAGAACAAAATACCCAGCAGAATAAATGGACCTAGAACAATAAATTGTGAGCACAAGAAACTTCATAATTTGTACCTATCACCTATTACTGCTATAGTGATGAAATCTAGAACGTTACAGTGAAAAGGACACATCGATTAGGAGACAAAAAACAAAAGCAGGAATTTTGGAGAATAATCCTGTAGGAAAGTAGCCACTTGAAAGAATGGAAAGGTGACTAGAGAGATTAACATGAAGATGGATCTTGTAAAAGCAGTTCATAAGCATGCATGATAGTTGTAACTAGATCAGGATTGTGTCAAGTTTGGTATTTGCTGTGCCAAACCTTCTATTACTAACCAAAACTGAAAAATATCAGTAACTCTAACCCTTTTAGCAATTCAGTACCTTCCTCCTGTGTGCAAACTGTAATTAAATCATAGTAACCAACATTTCTGATAAACAATTTATCAATATTAAACCAACAGACCAAGTACAGTAAATAATAACATGCTTTTCCATGAGAAATCATTACATGGATAATACCAGAAAGCAATTTAAAACCTGACCCCAGAAATTGTCTGTTTGCTTTCCAATTTAGCAACACAGAGATAAAAGCAACAACAGTGAATAAACATAACACACAGTACATGTCTTTCATATATATACAGATACATTTTGAATTCTGAATTTAAAAATGTATGAGCGAGCAAACGGTAGTTTATCTTAACACGGTGACTACAAAACCAAATAACCATGTCGATCATCCATCTTTATCTCTTCCTGTAGACAAACTGTTCCTGCAGTCTTCTTCAGTTATGTTACAACTGGCATGAACTGTATCGCGTATTACGCAGAGTTCATCGAACCTTCTTTCGACCTTGCCTGGCCCTCCCTCACAGACTTGCGACAGGATAAGAAATTTTTCCAATTGCATAGCAGACCCCGACTATGAGGCCTGTCTGATCTCAGTGCAGCACACCACGTGTATCCCTGCACGCAACGCCATTCTTGTCCAGTCATCCCTAAGGTGATGAGCCAACATTGGTGCCCCAGTAATATCAGCAGTAAGAATGCAATTACTATGCAATATATAGAACTCACAAAGCACAATGCAATCCTGAAACAGTTCAAACAAATCATGTTTCAAAATTACCAGAAGCAGGTAACAGAAGAATAAAACAACTTACAACAAAATAAAGACACTTCTACATATAACTTACATACCATATACACCACACCTTCCTACTTACAACATAACTTGTTTCTGTAGCAAGTAACACAAATTTCTATGTTTCTTAAAAACGATTGGTTAATTATGTTTCCTTCCCAATTTATCTGAAGTTAAAGTCTGTTATTACAAAATCTGATGACATTCAGAAGCTTACCGCTGTAACAGATGGCATTATATCAAATTAAAAATTATGTAGATGCTATAGCTTGTCACAACATCATTTCCAGGAAGATTATCACCATTTGGATAAGAGACAGAGTACAATAAAAATATTCACTTTAATTAATAACATTAATTCAGAAAAACTTACATGAAATCATGATAAACATCACTACAGTCATCAGGCAATAGGACTGTCTCCATGATATAGAATGACGGATGGCATACTGTAGTTATAGTTAAAATGGCCCCATACACCAATGCTCCTGCAGAAAATAAAACTCCGAAGACAAACAACTGGTGATTCTTGTCTCCGATACAACAATCCAACCTTAAAATAAAATAAGGAAGATTAATATGCAAAAAACATAACATACAAATAATCTCATAACTTTATCAGTTTCTTTCCTCTCTTATTATTTTCCTGAAATCATAAGTACATAAAAAACTTCACCACAAACAGTTTTTAAAAGTGTACTCTTAATTCAGGGTTCCGCAAACAGCGGGTGCCAGGTCACTATGGCGACTAGCATTTTCAAGAATAACAGCTTTTACTTTATGTCTGTTTCCACTCTACAGAGATTCCACGCTCAACAGCGAATACAATACAAAACTGCTTATCTCAGACAGCAATAAGTTCTTCTGAAATATTTTACTGGGGGGTGTACATGTCCTGAAAATATGCCAAAGCACCATGAATGATGATGATATTTTACTGAAGAACTAATAAAACACTTAGTCACAACTTGTCCATTCATACTCATACTCAAAAGCCATACCACACACAGTGAATGTCACGCTTAATGACGCATGCTTGACATATGCGACAGTGGAAGGTACTAGGCGGAAATCTTCGTCTGTACACAGAACAAACCAATTCTGTTTCATCACCCACATTAGCATGAACTACACAGCTCAGATCGGCTCTTGTCCGTACCTGTGGAACCCAACGAAGCAAGTGAAGATTCTGAACTGCATTAATTAAAAACGAACTATGAATGCTTGAGAGCAACATCGAAAGCAGCTGGTTCTCAAAAATCGTAACTCGGAAACTGGAAGGTTACTAGCAAAATTAACAGCTAATTCTTAAAAATGTTCAGTGCCTATATACTGTTCGTACAAAATATTTCAAGCTTTATATACCTTATAAAAGCATATTCCTGAGGATACTACTAGACCCATGAGCACACAATTTTCATGAGGCATTATCTCCAGAAATGGCACCACACTCAACTCAAATACCAGTAGAAGGAGAACAGCAGATGTCAAAGTCCATACAAAGAAGAATTTTGTTCGTGGGAGGAATTGTACAAAGACAGAATACAAGTAACACATACTCAGCAACATGACCATTGAGACTAAAACAGTACACCATACACTCTGGGCAGCAATATATGCTAGCAATGGCTGCAAGAATATTGGCAATGCAGAATCGATTGAAATTTGCTTGGCTCCTCCCCTCCACGGTATCCGTAACCGATCTTGAAAGGTGCTCATTATGTCGGTGACTCGTTGAAATGGAACACGCTCACAGACAATTATCCTGAGAAGAAAGAAAGACAGAATTTCTATACATACTATTTACAGGTTTAAATTATCTGCATAAAAAGTGTAACAGAAATTATGAAACGTTTACAAAACTTGAGTCAATATGCAGTGATCTTTCAACATTCTGTATATGTCACAAATGTTCACACATCATGCTGAATGAACTGTAAAAAATGTAATGTTAGGTATGTTACATGATGTTATAAATAGTCACTCAGGAGATTTGTGACGAAAAATCAATCAAGTCCCATTTCAAAGTTATATTCCCAACATTTGACTAAAGATTCTCTACATTTTTTACAATTCTGAATATATGGTTACATGAGAATTTTGTTACATCAGAAATGAGCCATGAGGAAAGGCAATGTAGGATCTACAGCTTTGGCAGCAACTACATTCAAAGAAAACTTCAGACAAACAGCTGTGTCAGCCACGTGGAAAAACTGGCGTTTCAAGAGCCACCTTTGTCCTCATCATCAGGGATGTGATATCAGACGGCTCTTGGAACGTCGATTTATTATGGCCACCTGACTTTGTTGAATATAAATCCGTTGTTTTAAGATCACAATGCAAATTATCAATTAGTAAAATGAGAAGAGAACACAAGTGTATAAATTAGAAGAAATGAGATTAGAAGAGCGGAAGTGGGGCGGCGAGATAGAAGAAAACAGAACTGATGAGAAGATAACAGAAGAGAAGACATGAGAAGAGAGCATAGACAGAGAAGAGAATAGAGAGAAAGGACAGGAAACTAAAGAGGATGTGGGAAGAGAGAAGAGACAAAGAGATATATGAGGTAAAAAGAGAGAAAAGAGGTGAGAAATGGAGATAAGATGATAAGGGAAGAGGTAAGAAGACATGAGAGAAGTGAAAAGAGGTGAAGAGAGAGGAATTCATAAGAGAAGAGATGAGCATGGGCTAGAAGAGCAAAGAGAGGAGTGTAGATGGATGAGAGGGGAGCACAAGAGAATGTTGGAGGCGACAGACATGCAGACGAGAGGAGAAGAGAAGAGACGGGGAAAAGTAAAAGATAAGAGAAAAAAAGATAGATCCGAGAGGAGAGAAGAGAGGTTAAGAGAACAAGGGATGAGAGAAGAGAAGAAGAGTGTAAAAGAGAATTGAGGATAGTGTAGGTTGCGCTGAGTTGGGTAGGGTTGGGTTAGGTTTGGTTAGGTTAGAGCTGGTTGGGTTAGGTTAGGTTGCGTTAGGTAAGGCGTCGCTACGCTCGGCGTCCAGTTTCTAGCATTGTGCCCAACGTTATACCAAAGGTTTAAGTCATTTTCTGGCGGCATTTCTTGGCGTCGCGACGGAAGGCGTTGATTTTTTAGTTGTGCGTTCAGTGCAATCTGACACTTCTGTGCTGTCAGTTCGGCGTCATTTTAAGGCGTCGGGATGGTACGCGTCGCGACGCCGGGCGTCGATTTTCTAAAGTCGCTGTTAATGACGTCCCAAGGGCTTGAGTCACATTCCCGTGGTCTTTTGATGACGTCGCGATGACTGGCGTCGCGACGCTCGGTGTCGGTTTTCTAATTTAGTATTCAGTGTCATCTGGAGATATTTGCTGTAAATATGGCATCACTCAAGGGCGTCGGTTTTCTAGTTGTGCGTTCAGTGCAATCTGACACTTCTGTGCTGTCAGTTCGGCGTCATTTGAAGGCGTCGAGATGGTAGGCATCGCGATGTTAGATGTCGCAATGCCCATACCCAAATTAACCCAACACAACGTAGTGTATCCCAACATAACCTAAACTAACCAAACACTACCTCAAACCAAGCGAGTAACTTAGCTTAGGTTAGGATAGGATATTAGGAGACAAGGGGAGAGGGGTAAATACGTTGAGCACAGAACACAACAGAAGAGAAGAGAAAAGAAGTGTATAAATTGGTCATTTGTAACTGTAAAAGTTTTCTCAACAGAAACTGGCAATTTTGCCATATATTATCTCAACCTGCCTTTACTATAATATGCATTCTAAAGGTCATATGAAGTAGTTGTGTTTTTAAGACTGTTAGTTTGCTGTACAGAGCGTCCAGTGACCTCATGTCAATAATTCAATATCTTATTCCTCAGGTCATTCTCAGTCAGAAAAGTCACATGAACATGGGTCTGATCTCAATGGTTTCAGAGCTGCGGATATTTTAAACACGGGATGATCTGAACCTCAAGGGGAAACATCAGGGCCATTCACGCATCTTTCAGCAACAAATTTTGATACACTCTCCCTCCTGTTTGCTTTGCATTCACACACCATGTTTTTCATTTAACTCCACACATGGAAATTTAGCAGAGTGAGGTCCAGTGACCATGTTAGCCAATTCTACCAATCAACATGGTCAATCTATCAGAGAGGGAACTGCTCGTTCAGGTACATCACGTATCAGCTAAAATGTGGAGGTGCCCCGTCATGCCTAAGTACAAGTGCAATCATATTTTATATTTGTTTAAATCATCTTGAATTTATATCCATACCTCCTTAACCACTGAGAATTGAACCCATGTTTGAATGACATTTTTGACTGGGAAAGACCTCAGAAATTAAATCATGAAGTACTAGTATAAACTTCTCAGACACCTGTATACTTTAAGCTTGAAGGAGTTTCTCGCTGACAAAGGTGGATGGTGCAACTTCATTTACCTTACTCACCTTACTTAGCCTTGCCTGACTTGTGGATATTCTCAAAGATGAAAGCTTGAATCCAAGTGACCACATCCTAATCAATCAAGAAGACCCCTGAGGACAAAAATTCACCTGAGGGAAAGCTTCTAAACTATTCCAAAGTTGCATACACAGTCCACAAAAATTTAAAAAAATATGAAAAGATTACACTGTAAATAGCTCTGTTTACAGTCACAAATATTCCAAAATGAAATTTATCTAACCTTTAAAATGCACTTTGTACACATTCACCAAACATTAATGGCTAATGTGCCAAACAGGATAAATTTTGTCCCTGCACAAAATATGACGATGATTAGTAAGACATATTCTTTGGAGAGTAATAAAATTTCAAAAGGTGTTCTTCATGCCACATAATGGGTAGCAATGTCTGCAGGTTGCTTTGTTGAACACCACAGCTCAAATCAGGACTTGTACATCACCTTACATGAAAGGGACTACAAGTGCAACAATGATGTCCAAAGTCACTGTTGTAGTGTGATATCAGGTTATTATTATTATCCAACAATTACAGTTACAATTACAAACAGTTGCATTGATACAACAATGTGTTCTAGCAATGATATTAGTTTCCATCATTGCGAAGTGTTCTTACACTTACCCTGGATCATGTGGAATGCTAGTTCCAAGGGGAAACATGACAGATGAACATGGACTGGCCCATAAGGTGTTCTTTGCTCATACTAGAGTGTGAAGAACACCTAGAAGATTCTAAATGTTTCATATCCCTATCTAAATACAGATTTACATTTTGTTAATTAGTATGGAAGTACTGAATATAACACAAACATTCTTCACTGTACAGTACATTTCAATACAACCACAAACGGCCTTAAAACGAAGCGGAGTATAAACGCAAACTGAAAATCTAGGTGTTCTTCATTCATGGGTTACAAATGCATGTTCTACTAAAATTTAAATTTATGACATAATGCCCAACCTGAACTATCACTTTTGATTCTTATTCAAATACACCTGTAACGATTGCAAGTATATGTCTGAACATGACTATAAATTTATCTTAGCACGAAAAATATAAATTATAACCTTTCAACGCTCTCATCCAAGTCCTCACAGTTACAGCAACAACCTAAAATATGACTTCTTTCTTGTTCAACATTCCAATATTCGCAACAGCACAGAGGGCTATTATCCTGCCATTCTTCCTTGCCCATTACTCAAAACAACTTATCACTCAAATTTCCATACGAACTACAGCAGTGCATTAAAATTTTCAAACATAAAAAGTGCAAAAACAAATCCTGTAACATCGACATCCTGAACAAACATTCGTCATCTCTATGTGAAACTGTCAATTATCTGTGCTGTACAAGGCAATGCAATTTATTTTACGTCATACCAAAATCTTCTTTCGAGAGATCGCAACAAATACAAAGACTGGTCATGACATTCAGGCATTCTACATACACTTTATTTTATCTGTGCCTCTGTTTACTCTAAGTAATATAATAAACAGATGGTCTGCTCCTCTGTGAATAATGTTCTGACGTTGTTACCTTACAAACTTAGAGCAGATAATAATTATATGAGATTAAGATTATCACAGAGGCGAGTATGAGAATAGCTGTCTTCTGGGTTGTAGAAATTCGCCGACGTTGTAGAGGTTCTTTCTATCTCCATCATAATGGCAATGATCAATAGCCCTGAAGATGAAAGCAGTTAAGCACCTCTGGATGTTGGTGACAATATACCAGACCATACGTCGCAATAGCCTAGGAGACAGCCATCTTCAGTCTGGTAGTCAATAGTTCTGGGCGATCGCTCTGATAATGGAAGCAGCAAGGACTTATGCCAAGGCGTTTGGTGAAAATAAATTGGTAGAAATTTAGATTCGATGTCTAGGTAGGTTTATGACCCACTGATGTAAGAAAATGAAGAAAATATGGCTATTGGGTACATAGCACGCATAATCCAGACAACACAAGACACCATGGCACATAGATTAATATTATACTGATTGCACCATGGTACAGCAGTCCCAAATCGTCATCACAACACCACAGAAGGCGAGTCTGTTCCTTTACTCATCTATGCGCTAACAAACAGGTTATTTTGATTTCGTACAGTTACTCTGATCCCAGCAATAGGAATTTTGTTCGTGGGTCGTATAAATTATGATTATAGGTGGATCTCCGAAGAGATGTTTCAATGGATTAACTGTAGTATTCTGTGCCAATTAAAACAATGCTATCAACGTATGACAGCTTTCACAAATTAAGCAAATTTAAGTGAGGATTGTAATTTTTATATGCTCATTATTGACGTAAATACGGCAAAAAAGTTAAACGAAACCGTGTAAGATCCATATCAACAATGTATAAATATGGACCGACAACAATCGACAGCTTGCGTGCAATGTAATGTTATGTTACCTAAGAAACGTCATCTGTTTACTCGGCATTGTTGTGTTACATTACTGCCGTCAACAATCCGCTTTCGTTATTGCGGAAAGAGCTGAGCAGTGAATCGGTTGTAGAAGAAGAGTGTCGTAGACTAGATAATTTTGTGCTGTTAAAAACGTTTTAGAATACCACAAGTACATATCTTATATAAGAATTATTACAAATCATTACATTACAGAGACGTATTTACGTCAGATTCTCCGGATCCGTGGTTCAACTGTCAACTTCTTCACTTTCCAATAGAAACGTGTTTCGTACCACTTTGGATTTTCCCGCCATTGTTAACGGGCAATTTCGTAATACTGATTGTGTTGGTAGAAATGTATGTTAACAGGTTGTGAAGGTGGTATGTGTTAAGTATGTAATGCCATGCCTTGAAACAGATTTTACATATATTTATTTGGTTTTCAAAATACGTTGCGTATAGGTCAAAAGAATGGTCGAAGGTGCCGTGTTGATAGGGTCAGGGGTTCGTGACAAATACTCAAAGATTAATATCATTCATCCAGAGGTAAGTTTTGCACAACATTGCATATACAGATTGTTATACAAATACCAAAGCGTTCCAATGAATTATGCCTGGAAAGGTTTTTGGAAGATAATGGGCGTGTCTTCTACCATATTGCATGGTTCACATCTCAGATGACAACCATTTTTGACATTGGAATTAGGATTAGTGACCTTGAATAAAAGCGAATGAGATGTTTGGGGGGAGTAACTCATTCTTAATGAACCAGTTCACTTACAACACATTTCTGTAAAGCCCAATTTCAATAAAAGATCCCCCAAATTTCCAGTCTTCCAAGAGATTCCTCATCAAAATTTGTTGAGTCTTATTTACAATTCTCAGTCCAGATGACCACTCTTAGGTCCACGTATTTTTTCTTGTTTGTTTTAAAATACTTGCATTTTTATTCTTTCAAATGAAGAGTCAGTACTTCATATCTTATATTATACACTGAGGAAAAGCAGTACTTTGAACTAAGCAACTTCTGTGTGTATCATTTCAGCAACAGAAAGCAACTATTTTCTTAATAAATTTACACTGAACAATTTTAGTTACAAGATGTTTGTTTTCTGGCAATATGCAATCTTGAAGAAATTGACCAACACTTGAGAGGTTTTTACTATCATCATCATCATCATCATCAGGGCCTTGAAGTATGTGTATCATTGTAGGTTTTATTCAACATTATTCTTTTGAACTTTGCTGTACATATGAATTCATTTGCAATGCAGTATATTTTGAATTGTTTCAGTTTATTGTTGGTCGCTCCAAATCTTCATCGTTTGTCATCTGCAGCCTTTTTGTTTCAAAAACTCAGTGCATTTTTAAGAAGACAAATGGGACGTGGACAGTGTGTGATAAAGTGAGCAATATGTCAACAACATTGTTAAAGATATACATATCATATAAGCAAATATAAGTATTCAATTAATTTATTAAAGTGTATGCCAACAGCGAGGAGCCAATGACAGGCAATCATTGATAATAGATACATATACAAAAAACAAACAAACAAAACTAAATATATAAATGAATATATATAATAGATCAATCAAACATTTCCTGTATTGAATATTATAGCCAATTGCAGGCAAATACGGAAATAATACACATGGTTAAGATTATAACAATCACTAGACCCTTTCCTGAATGGAGAAAGTGTTTTCAAGGGAGACACTGACTTTGCTGAACATGTCCAAAAATCTGCATGTTCACACCAGTCAACTTTTGCCATACCACGTGGCACAACATCCCAGGAGACATCCATTTTAATATAAATATTACATTAAATAAAATTGATTTTGGTAGATTTTCTGCTTGTCATAGAATTATTATGCACAAATATGAATAATTCATAAATATTATTCTAAAAAAAATCTACTTTCAGAGTACGTATGGAACATATGTGAACGGTAAGAAGCTGATGCAAGACAGACCAACTACATTAAGAGATGGCGATGAGGTTGCATTTGGCCCCCGCACTAATTTTAGGTACATTTTCTACACGGAAGATATCTCCACAAATCCTTTGAAGAAAATAAGGCTGGATGGGGAAGTGTAAGTACATACTTCTTGAGCATGTATTTAAACTTATCACCCTTATGACATTGCCGTGCTTTTCACATGTCGAAACATTGTTTGAGAAAAACATGCATATGTGACTGGTTACCATATTTTAAAACTAGACATTGAAGAATGAATTATTATCGTGCTTTACACAGTCACCAAGTTGCAATTATTTTGGGGACCAGATGTAAACAACATATGCAACTTAAAAAAAATCAATTTATGAAGTAAACCATAGTGACTCCCATTCAATACTGTTTTTAAACTTTCCCCCCCTCAACACTTCTGTTTTAAAATGGTCTGCATTTCCTAAGTGCGTAATAAATTTCAGGTTCCAATTATGCTTAATATTTCAGTAGTTGAAATTATCAGTGGGTAGGAAAGTATGCTAAATTATAGCATTTCCATAATGAAATGTTGCAATTTCAAATTTAAATATTTATTTACTGAACGTGGGACGATGGATAAAAACATAAATTGAGGTCTAAGGTCCTCACAGTAGTGAAGGTGTCAGTGTTCATCTTCTGGGTTGTAATACTGTGGACATGTACAATTGTTTTTTGGTATACGCCTACTAGTCCAAATGGTGTTACAACCCAGAAGACTAGCATCAAAGATAAAACAAATTGTTACTTAAATATAAATATTTTTTTGACGTAAATACGTCTATAAGGAAGGGTCATTCGGCAAAAATGTGTTACGAAAAAGGGAAACGAAAAAGTGTAACTTCATTGTTATGTTACCTAGGAAATGTCATCTGTTTATTAACAAATCGACAATAATGGTTACTTAAGGAACATCTATTTACTCGGCATTTTGTTACCTAGGAAACGTCATCTGTTTACTCGGCATTGTTGTTACCTATAAAACATTTCATTACATTACCTTACCTTACCACTACCACAGACTCATCTTAAGCGTAACTAATTCAAGTTATATAAGCAATGTCTTAATCAAACTTATCTCAAATGTAAAGCATGTATGAAGGAAATATTTAGAATAAAGCCAATATATAAACTTCCTTTCCATATAGACGTATTTACGTCAAAATCTCCGGAACCGTGGTTCCACTGACAACTTTCTGTTATCCAGCATTACGTACAGCCTGAAACTGGGCTGTTACCACAGCTGATCGGCTACAAAAGGCAAAAATATATGCGCGGTGGAAAGGCTGTGACTCGGCATGGGTGCCAAAAGATTTCCTTTTATTTATTATCCACAAAAGCAGCGATTGTGAAATGTGTACTTGATACTGTCTTGTATATAAGTTGGTTGATAACGATAAACATTATTGGTATTTTTTGTAGTACTTTAGAAGAAGAGGGATTGCAGACGGAGAAACAGATGATGGAATTGAAAATCAAGAAATACCCAGAACAGCGAGAGATGATGGACCATGAGGAGAAAGGAGACGTACAAGAAGAGCTACAATCAAGAAACACAGAGGAGAAAAATATTTTGGAAGAAGAGCTGAAATTGGAACAACAGAATGAACAAAGGAAAATCTCTCACGAAAAACTGCTACAAGTATTGCTTTGTTTATTCAGTTCTTGGTTAATTATTTAATGATGTTCTCAGTAGCTCAGATTATATAGCACAGAATGGTAAAATGATTAGTGAATAACAAAATGTAAAATGTGGAAGGAATCAGTCCTATCATATATTTGGAGGGACTTTGGAAAAGCGCAAAAATACTTCGGACAGGCTAGGCAGTTTCCAGATTGAGATATGAACTGGGGACCTCCTTAATACAAAACAGGATTTTTACCAACTCAACTGTGTGATTTAGAACACAGTTTTAAATTACTGTTGTTATATTGCAATATATTACAATATTTTATATATTATGCACTATAGTTGCTGAACTATATTTCATTGTAATCTTGCGAAGACATGAGACGGCGTAGCTCAGTCAGTATAGTGACTGGCTACGGACTGGGCAACCGGGGTTCGATCCCTGCCAGGGGCAGAGGATTTTTCCTCTAGCCTCTGCGTCCAGACCGGCTCTGGGGCCCACCGACCCTCCTATCCAATGGGTACTGGGGTCCTTTCCCGGGGCGTGATGCTGACCACTCACCCCCATCTAGTGCTGAGGTCAAGACTGAGTAGGAGCTATACCTCCACTCACCTCAAGCGCCTAAATGGCATATAGTGGGACAGCTTAAAAAATTTTTGGGAAGACAGAATATTATTTAATATGCAAGTATTCATAAGAGAGATTATTTACTTTATGTAATAAATGTTTGACTTTTGCTGAGATAGGTCTGTTGATAAAATGACCAGGGTTTGATTCCAAGTGGGGGAGTTTGTTATTTCATGTTTGCCACCATGTGCATCACTCTTCTGGGGCTTCCCTGACGTCCTGTCCAGCAGGCAGTGGAAGCCTTTTTCAGTAGGGCAAAGTGGCCAGAATGCGACACTGACCATCCATCTTCATTCATTGTTTAGGTTAAGAAAGTTTGGAGCTCAAATCTTCGTGGTATATTGCGCAAGAACAGGGATTAAACATTTTTTCCCTTCTAAAGTGATAGAAGAAGAAAACTTGCTAAACTTCTTTAATAAATCTTCCTTGTTTCATCTTCACCAGGAAAAATGCATACTAGAAGAAAAATTGAAGGAAATGCAAACTGTACTAGAAGAAAAGGAAAAGGCTCAAGATTTGTTATACAAACAGCTTCAAGAAAAGGAAGAACAAAGGCTGCAAGATTTGGTAAGCTGTTTTTATCTGGGACATAAAAATTAATTTCAAAAGTATATTCTAAGAGATGAGCAGATTCACTATTTTGACAATATTTGTAACAATTATTACAGAAACAGCTTCAGGAACAAAAAGACGCACAGACCCAAGTCCTGCTGGAAGAACTTCGGAAAGAAGTTGCAGAAAAGGAAGATATTATTAAAATTCAGCTTGCAAGAGAAATTCAGGGCCTGCAGGAAGAAAAACTCAAAATAGAGAAAGATATAAGAGGTATACCTTATTATAATCCTGTATTTATCACTCCTTAGTGCACTTTCACACACACTTATATTGTTATCAGCATTGACAATTCTTTTGAGATGTTCTAATATTAGTGTTGAATCCTGCCGACAAAGTCCTTCGGTATGTCGCAGCCATTTCATTGAGTTTGTTGAAGTTTCAAGAAAGTTGTACGAAAAATAATAAAACACTTCCCTCATTAATTTACCTTACAGTGTTTCAGAAAAAATAAGGTTTCCCAAAGAGTGCTGTGGTGACGTAATACTGTAATTGGAATTTTTAATTACAGAAGAACTGTCTAAGAAGGACGGAGAATCAGCTAAAATCCTGAAACGATTGCAGGAGGTACTTCAGAAAGTAAAAGGAGATTTGTCTAATACTGAAGGAAAGAAGCAGTATCTTGAACAAGAACTGGAAAAAATAACAAAGGCCAAGAAAGATGCGTCAGAATCGTGCCTCAAAGCAAAGCAGGAGGTGCTAGCTGATTTTGGAGAGCTGATGGAAACAGAATTACAATGTAGTATCTGCAGTGAACTTTTTGTTATAGTAAGTTGCTTGACGTAAAGCCAATACACATTTGAATCCAGGTCTTTAACTACAGTCAACAAGCTGCATCATATAAACATCAATATATTTGCGCTAAAATTAATATATGCCTTGCTTATGACCATTCTCTTGAATCATAAACAAGGCTCAAGAAACCCTCGAATAAATAATTGAAATGATTTGTTTTAGGGATAAGAGGGTGTGGAAACATTGAACACTGAATTTCTTAACATTGTGAAGTGAGGTTTGTTTAGTAAGTAATTTCTGATGCTGCGTTAGACTTGTATTTATTATACTGTCATAGACTTTTAAAAGGACGAGGGAGAACGGACAAACACTCTTATTTGACTATGTAATTGCCAGAGTAATTGAGACATCTTAGTGATGTACCACCTCTGCTTCCCACCGAGAATAAATCGTAGCAAAACTCTCTAGGCGCACGTTGTGGGCTGCATGATGGATGGGGACAAGACATTCCCAATGAAAATACTGTAGGAGTTGCACCGTGATGCTCGCTAGACGGAGTGGGCATTATGGAGAAGGGTAATTTTCTTTGTAAGCGAACTAGGACATTTCCTCTGGACGCCTTTCTTCGGGTTTTGTGAGATGTGCGGTAATGGTCTGCGTGTACTATTGCCCTGTGGTCCAGGAACTCGAGGAAAATGCCCCTGTATCTCCCAAAGTGTCCTCAGCAACACGTTCCAAGAAAACTGTGTGACCTTGAACTTAATTTTCATGGGAGATGTGCTTCCACTCCGCTGATGCTGTCTTCAGTATTGGTATGAAGTGACGATTTGACCAAGCAATTCTCGGGTAAACTCGAAAGGAAGACACTTCCCATGTCATGACAAAGTGCACCAGTGAATCCAACAACTGGGCCCTGGTTTATTCTCAATGACGAGAATGTATAACTGGACAGACATCTTGATCTTGTTTATATGGAGAAGCAGAGGGTTTGTCTATTCTTTTTGATTTCTGTGTGTAAGCTATAAATATGAGTGTAAAACATATTTAGCTATGTGATGAAAGTATGTAGTAATTTGTAAATTTGAAATTTAATCAAAATACTGTGTTACTGAACAGTTGGTCAAGAACCATATATCCCACCATCACTTAATATAATCTTTACAATATCAAATAATTTATTTTCACAGGCGACAACACTGAACTGCACTCACACTTTCTGCCACTCTTGCATTGTAAAATGGATGGAGAAGAAGAAGAATTGTCCCGTCTGTCGAACATGTATCACGTCTCAAAATAGGTCCATTGCCATGGATAATTTTATAGACCGAATGGTTGAAAACCTATCGGTGGAGATGAAGAATCGGCGGCAAGAGGTCGTTGAAGAAAGGCAAGGTATGAGTACCTGTGGTCAGAAACATGCATTGTCTTAGATGTCTGGATGATTTTAGTGAAATTTGGTTTCTTTCCTCCTGAGAAAAGATGTGGAATTGCTTCTAAAATTTTGTTCCTTTGTATCCTATGGTAATCTCGAATCAGGTTTTATGCATTAATACGGTATGTTCTGAAATGATTTAATTCAGAAGAAAATGCTCTGGAATGCAGATCTGGTATTTAATTAATTCAATGTCATTCCAATTTGAAACATAAAAGGAAGAATAAAAAGGGAGCCATCTCAGTTGTTTCTATCATACAAAATCCATAAGTTTGCGCTACATGCTTTAGAAACTTTGCAAATTAAATTTAGTTTTAAGCCAGTACTACAGGTTTGGCTGCCTGGAAATTTCAGCAGTGGTCCGAGCAGAATAAGATACAGAATAAATTTATTTCTTCTTGTTGAAAGTTCCAAAGTTCCGTAGGTACTCTTGTATTTTTAAAAAGGAAACTGGTATATGTGTGCAGACTTCGTAATATCCGCGAACCTTTCACAGTTTCTTATGTGAAGCACAATAGAAAGCTTCCTTTCAAAAGGCAGAAATTATTTGATTTGGTTTACTACAGTTGAAACTATATTTGATTATGTTGCAAAATAGATCATATAATTTCAGTTCAAGAATTGCTAGGCCCCAAATCAAAACCTGAGCCTTCTCGCGAGCCGCGGAGACGGCGCAGAAGACGTCGAAGTACCACATCTTCTGATAGTCCAGAAGATGACAGGTTAGTCGGCACACAGTTTGTGATTTTGTAATCAAGTGGCATTTAAAATCTGTGTTTAAAGATTTCTGAAGATGTTATGACAATGTTTCTTATTCTGCTGGACTTAATTAATTAATTAATCACCTAAGAGTTTTTAATAAAATAAAAAAAGAAACACTCTGATGATAGACAAGTCCAACACATGGGGATATAAAATGTTTTCAAAAACAGAAGAAATATAAAATCATTGAAGTTTCAAGGTAGCACATGCCAGCCTAAGATCCAAAAAGACAATGAATGGACAATCATTTTAGTTTTTCATCATTTTCCTCTTTGAGATCTTACGCTGGTAAGTGACCTACTCTTATCAAAACCAAAAAAATAATTTGAATTCTATTCATGTACTTTAGAAATTAGTTATATTTTCTAACAGAAATAGACTGGAAAAGGAGTAAGGCAAATACATTTTCAAAATCCAATCGAATACCTCAATATATTGTTTCATAAATGTGTCATTGTCATTCATTCATGGTCCAGAAAGTTCTTATTGCTGAAACATAGAAAATTAAAATTGAAATTTTTAGAGGAACTCGGAAACACTGATGATAGAACATAAGATATTTCACCATTCAGACAGGGAATCTTGTAATGATATTCATGTATGTAGAAGTGATCAGCTGAAGTAGGCAGCTAATTTGCAGGAGAAAACTAGACAAATGTGTTCGGTAGTGGATGACGGCTACATTATTTGATAGACGGGAGTCATATGCATTTTATCCAAGCTTTTGTTGCTGGTACATAATTTACTCATTTTATGGGTTTCTAATCCTGGGAATGACTTTTATTAATTTTTCCCAGCCAAAGTAACAGTGAAGTCATCTACGTCAGCAGTAGGAGCTCCTCTGACATGGAATCTGAGGCGTCAGACGCGTACAATTCGGAAAACTTGAGTGATGAAAATTATGTGGAAGGAGATCCACATGCTTACTATGGAGGCTATGGGTACTGCTATAGATGTGGTTTGTATTGCTGCAGCTAATGTTTCAGTTGGCACATTATAAATATTTACAAAGATATTAAAGTAGGATTTGAGACGAGTCTGAAGATGGCTGTCTTTTGGGTGGTTGTGCCATGCCCTCTGAAACGTCGGAAAACTTCTACCAGACTATGTGGCACAACAACTCAGAAGACAGCCATCATAAGATATTAAAGATTCAGCCTGTACCTCAGAGAAAAAACAGTGCTTCACTATTACAAAGCTCATTTGGTTGACGCTGTTTAAGGAAATAATTGCTGTTTACAGTGAGAATCATAAATACACTCTGGGCAAAGTGCAGAGTTATGGATTGATAAAGTGGGTGGCATACGTCTATGACAGATGTAATGAAGTAGTTTTTAAATTAACATATGTGGCACACGTATGAGAATTGTACGTTAAATATTAAAAGAAAAGTTTCCAGAGCCTTTAAATTATAGTGCCAAGTGGCTAAAAGTAAATGTTTTAAATGCTCCAGTCCACACAGGTATTTGGTTCTTTATTACAGCCCAACTCTAAGTGGCATCACTTTTGTTTGCATTTACAATTTGATTTCTTCATTTCAGGAAGAAGAGGTCATTGGGCCAGAGGATGTCCTGACTACTGAATGTGATAAAGTATAATTTAATTTTGTAGAATGTAACTTTAAGTTGCAGTTTGTATAGAACTACTTTGTGGACATATTATATATAAATAAAGTTATAAATATGTATTTTCTTTTCAGCAAATAAATATTTTACAATGTTTTTGCATGCGAGTGTTTTTCCACCCATCCCAAACAATTCTATAACGCACAAGTTCCAGTGTTACTATAAAACAGACACTTATGTGTAAACTCTTAGTATCAATTATGTTTAAATACAAAAGCACTAAAATTCACAATTATATCAAAATATGGAGGGTGTTTTTCTGGGTTTCTAATGCCCTGGGGGAACATACCAGCTCCATCACTTCTATCCTCAAGATGGAGGGAGGTATTATGTTCCTCTGGTAACCACCTGCACCCTGTGATGGCAATACTAACCAAGGAAGGGGTTGTACTTGGGTCATCAGTCAGACCAATCCCTCATTGTTTGTCACAGTAAATTGCCTGGCCAAATGAGGGTAAAAATGCCAGGGTAGATGAGTCAGTATAGTGACTGGCTACAGACTGGACAACTGGGGTTCAATCCTCAATGGGGGCAGAGGATTTTTCCCTCTAGCCTTAGCAACAAGACCAGCTCTGGGGCCCACCCAGGCTCCTATCAAATGCGTACAGGCGTCCTTTCGCAGGGGTAAAGGATGGCTGAGGCATGACGCTGACCACTCACCCCTATCTAGTGTCTAGCACCGACCTTAAGAATGAGACAGTACGGCAATTCGTAACATATAATGGCAAAATTTACCATTGTGGGACAGAACAAAATAAATTAAAATTATGTGTTGATCTGCCAACTGGAACTGTAACAAGAGCCGGGCACTGCTCAAAATCAACAAGAAAATGACATATATCTTGAACCAAAATGTAAATTTAATGTACTTTAACTACACACAATTGAACATTGAACCAAAATGTAAATTTAATGTACTTTCTTAACTACACACAATTGAACATTAACATTTCCACTACCTGGTGGAATAAAACAGTGTATTTCCAGTCTAACATGAATTTTCCTCTGCATTCACCCTTAATAAAACTGCTGCTAATTTTCCTGCAGCAGAGCATCACAAACCAGAGATTACCTCAATCAGCTACAGTAACTACCACGCACAACAGTACTTAAACACCTTTATACAGTGGTCTTAAAAGACAGCCACATCATTTAAAATAAATATTTAAGCAAAAATAGATGAAACAAAATACGGGACAAAAATAAAATGGCAATGTTACAATATAACCTGTGTATAATGGCAAAATTTACCATTGTGAGACAGAACAAAATAAATTAAAATTATGTATTGATCTGCCCAGTGGAACTGTAACAAGAGCCAGGCAGTGCTCAAAATCAACAAGAAAACAACATATATCTTGAACCAAAATGTAAATTTAATGTACTTTCGTAACTACACACAATTGAACATTAACATGGTGGAATAAAACAGCGTATTTCCAGTCTAACATGAATTTTCCTCTGCATTCACCCTTAATAAAACTGCTGCTAATTTTCCTGCAGCAGAGCATGAGGAACCAGAGATTACCTCAATCATCTACAGTAACTACCACGCACAACAGTACTTAAACACCTTTATACAGTGGTCTTAAAAGACAGCCACATCATTTAAAATAAATATTTAAGCAAAATAAATGCAACAAAATCGGGGACAAAAATAAAATGGCAATGTTACATCGAAATATAATGGTGGACCACATATTTCTCTTTTAAATGTGCCAGCAGTACTGCAACTAATTATTATTAAAATGTCTTACAACTCGCAATAAATTTACATTCATTTCAGTATGCGTTTTCTACGAAAATGTTGACACTGCGAGCACGGCACTCTCGTTAATCCTTCTTCTTGCATTCGGCGGCTTTGGCCGGTGCTGCTGTAATAGCGGCCTTTATACCATCTGCCAGCTGCACATTTTGTGATCCTGCCACCTCCTGCTCCATCTCTGCCGAAAAGCCAAATTCATTCTCCCTAGGGGGTCTATCTTGTATATCCAACGTTGGTACAGAAAGACGAAGAAAATAATATCTGAAACAAAGGTCATTTGTATCATCAGATCAATATCTAGATCAATTTCCCTGTATTCAGAATGTGAAGACAGTATAACATGGACAGCCCTTCCACCATATGCACATCATCATACATGCAAAATGGAACCAACGATAAAATGTTCTACTACTATCGAGCTTAATGGCTGATACAGACAATTAAAGACGCGCAAGAAAATACTCTTCAGATTTAATAATTTACATCTGAAGGGACGTACCATCTCTGAAGCAGCCCAGTCTGTAAAGTGTTGGCATTTTCATGACAAATGCAAAAATGTCGTCAATGAAGGTATTAAGGAACTTGTAAGACATCATACTTCAAGGCATGTGTGCTACAGACTTCAGTTTGTAGTTGATGAAAAGTTGTGGTGTCATCATTATGAAACCTGAAACAAAAATATGAATACAAATTCGGGTAACATCAATACTGGAGTACCCACCTTTCACATTAACACACAATAATTCTAATTCATAACTGGAGCGAGTAAAAATTTTCTAAACAGATAAAATTAACATCAACATGAAATTTTACATCAACTGACATACCTATTTTACACTGTATGAAATAATATAATAATTCGTGTTCAAATGTTTAAATAAAGTGGCTGCTTACCAAATGTGAGAAGTGAGCCGTAAAGCATGTTGAGCACGAAAGAATACCAACCACGGTGCTCCTGGTAGAAAAGGGAGTAGACGGCATAGCCAGCCAGTAACGGGTACAATGCCCACGACAGGTAGTGGAACGCAAGCATGTCATATTGTTTAGTACTCGACTCTATGTACGAGCCCTTATCTGAGAATCTGATCCTTGGAATAAATCCAAATATTCGAGCTTCATAGTCAATACTGATGTCAACCACCTGAAGAATACAGATAAATTTATGTATTTTAGTTTCTAAATATGGATGATAGGAGAAGCATCACGGCTGACATCACATCTTCAGAGGATTGAACAATTCGGTGGAATATATAGTCTTTCACGCAGTGCAGATTACAAAGAGTCGAATGTTACAAACGAATAACAAAACTAGAATTTATCAAGTTCCACACATGAAAGTCACAGTTTTTTCCAATGTACATTGCTCATTAATACAGAATTTAGAATGAAGGGAGAGATGAACAGGACAGATACATGTAAACGGTACAAAAAATTATTACTACAATACGCTTGAGAAGACGAAGCGCTACAGAATCGTCTACATAACATCTGAATATTATGAAACACGTTTTACCTTCTGTATCTTCCAGACTTCTGTGCAAAGTCCTACAAAACAAGTGAGCTTATTCACTGTATTTGTGTCGCTGTCCAATACATACAGCAGTACAATTAAAGACTGAAACACGCTGAAGAATACTGATCGCACTGACAGGCCTTCCAATGACTTCTGGTTGTTCCAGAACTGAATATCTGTAACACGCATATTACGCAATTAACAGCTGACACAACCTAAATTCTCTCAATAAGATTTATGTCCCTCTTTTACTTTGTTTACACATCCACACACTCATTCTCTCTTCCTCTCACTTCATAAAAAAAAAATTAAATCCGTGGAGTAACAGCTCCGGAGAGCCAAAGCCGACTAGCCTGACTGCTGGCCTCACGTTCACAGGCCTAAGCAGAGGTGAACAATCATCCAACCAGATACAGGATGACGTGTGGTCAGCACGACGAACCCCCAGCCATTGCTAGCTTTCCTGACCGGATTACGCTACTTATTGTAGCTCCCCAATTTCCTCATGATGCTGGGTTGGCACCGGTCGAAAGCTCATGATAATTTCTTCTCCCCCGAGACTCAAACCAGCGCGCTTTCCGTATCGCCAGTCCGAAGCATGATGCCTCAGACCGCGCGGCTACGGCGCAGGCCTCTCTCTTCATAACATGATAATCTGAATGGCTTCAGTAGTCCACCCCCTTCCCACGTCTCATCACTGCAGAAGTAAACAAACACTCAAATTCCTCTCACGCTTTCAGTTACATTCCTAGCTCTACGTACCATTCTTGAACGCCAGCAGTTCAAACACGGAATGCAGTATGGATACTAGAATAGTAAGAGTAAGGAGATATGGCGATGTCTCCAGAAGCGCCTCTTTCAATGAATCCTGTTCTTCGTCGTCTTCATCCACAAATGTATCTCCAAGCCAATTCACCGTCCATTTGTTGCGCATCGCATGTGCTGAATATATCTGCCATTTAAAAAGCGATAATGGCTGGGATGTCAGACTCAACTCTAAAGTCCTGTATAATAATTGAAAAAATTAATGACTAAGACTACGCTAATAAGCAGCAATGCTCTCGCTAAGATCCGCACTCATAACCAAGTGACCGAAGACACATCAACTGTGGTTAGCTATAATCTTTTCATAATCTCTTACTTTTAACTTCAAATAATTTTCAAGTTGCATTTTCAAATGATCTGTATGAATTACGATCAGAAATATTATACGTCAAGTACTACAGTACTTTAAAACTGCAAGAGGTGACAGCGTTAAGTCTTACAATGCATGTTAAATCACATTTCCATGTTAGAAAGTCCATTCATAACTGTCGAAGACAGCATACCTGAAACATTAAATTCTATGCTGGAACTTACGTTGTTGTCTTATTGATTGGCTGATACTCTCGAAACATGTTCCAGAAATCATTGAAATAAATAACAGGCTTGTAGTGATCTCCACCCGGTATGAATTCAATATCTGAAATGAAATTAAATAGATTACCCAAGTGCCTCATTATTCCGCTGGCTTTCCATCTTAACAACTTTTCACTTTCAAGTCAAATATTTTATGCGGCACAATATATATATATAAAGAACATTTACAAATTTCTCTGTATTTTCACTCTGAAAGCACAATCTTTAAAATATCCTAAGTTTTCACAAATGCCTTCTAGCCACAATTCAGAACACATATACAATCATGGTACTTTAACCAAATGGACCAGTCATTCATGCTTGGGAAACTACTTTATTTCATACAAATTTCTTCGGCTTTCTGAACACCATTTGAAACAGTGAAATGTTTCCATCCACTGAAAGAATCTAATTTTATTATGCCAAATCATATTCAGAATATATTATGACATTTCCAGTCTGCCTCACTTCTCTGAAATTCTATTATCCTTTCATCTACCCTTTAGATCTTCTGTTTTCCTCTCTTGGGATTTTCAAACCAAAATTTTGTATGCATTTCTTAAGTCCCCAAAGAATGCAGCATCTCATTGCTAATAAATAGGAGATATGCCCATGTGATAATGTGGAGCCAAGTATCGATTCGTCCGACAGAGTGCAGTGAACACCGTACAGAATTCAAAACTATAAAATTTACTTACATTCGTCAAGAGGCGGAGGAACAGACCCCTCAATCCAGTTGGTCTGATCAGTCACCAGATTTAACGTCAGGTTCGGATGCCAATGAGAAACAAATTCCTCTTTCAGAATTTCAGCTCTCTGTGAAGATAAGTGTACAAACAAGGTCAATATAGAACACGTCTCTTGCAAGCATTTCTATACACACACGGTAAAATGTCTATTGCCACGCAATGAACTTGTGTTGATCCTTATTTGCAATCCGTGATCCGCTCTGGTTCAAGTCAAAATTCTCTCTCTACACACATTTATGGCAAGCGATGAGATCTACAATATATAACACTGAGACTTCTCCGAAGTTGAAACTAATGGTGTCTACTGCCTTACCTTCACCTCTGCCAAAGTAGCCGCTGTCTCACCAGTCAGGAGATTATGCGTCTTTGTGTAGCGCAGCCGCTTATATTTATTCAACAGCTTCTTGCTGTAAGCCATGTGATGTGGCGAATACATTCCTTTCCCGGAAGAAGGGTCTGGCGACTTTCCTCTCCGTGTGAAATACACGTGAAGATATATTGATCCATTGTTCTGCACAGCCTAGACGAGACAAAACAAAAATGCAAATTCTTAACCAACTTGCACAAAATACTCAGTAACGTACAATATACAAATGGATTCACTGAAGCTCAAAAGGCTACAATTAATATCTATAGCTAACTCATGCCCTCTTACCCTAAGATGTATTTTAATATTATCCACACATTTCACATTTCCAGAACTTGCAGTAACTGATTATTTTTTAAAGAAGTACCTCCCAGTCCTGTATTAGATTCTTTACTGAATACACTTACCTCTGATACTTTGAATTCAATATTTTGTACACGTGTTCCATCGTTATTAGAACCACTATTCCAGTCCCCATAAACAATACCCTTTTCACTCCAAATCAAGGCTTCTGGGTCACTAAAGTTATTAAACTTTTCACTCTCTGATAAGTATACATATAAATCCTGTTGGGAAAGAAAAGAACAATTTCAAATTAAATAGAACATTTCCCTAGAAATGTTTGACAGTTCCTAGAGTAAAAAATTACAACTGTATTAGTACATTTAATTCACATCCTGAATCACAAGTACATTAGAACATCCCTTAATAAGAGGTACATGATGAATCACCCCCTTTGACCAAACACCATAATGAGAAAGCACACACACTAACTAACTAACTAACTAACTACATGGCTTATGGAACCTGAAGGTTCATCACCGAATTAACCAAAACCCTCATTAACATCATCAGCATATGCCAATAGTTGATGTGTCCCATTCAATTGCAAACCCTCCTGCCTATCTTGGACTTTCCTGATGGCATATTCTAGCGCAAAGTTAAACAGCAACGGAGACAGCATCTCCTTGTTTCAGACCATTCTTAATGGAAAATGAGTCCGATAAATATTTACCTATACAAATTTTGCTATAAGCTTGGGTTCCATAAGCCATCTAGTCAATTAATTGATTTTACAAATCGTTTTCTCACTAAGGGGGATCACCCTGGGCTTCGTGATTCTCTATGACATTCAAAGGTATCAGAAAATCATCCCTTATACAAAACTATTCAAGGACAGGCTTATGTACAGAGGAATACTACAAACGCTCAGTCCTGATCAAATATGCCTGTATATTTTCAAACTAAATATTTTATTATATTTACCATAACAGTTCCATTCTTAAATATATTAAAAGCTGGCAATTTAGTGGAAACAGTGCCACCAGGAACAGGCTCAACTGAGGCTGGCTTTTGGAAAAATGATGCGATGACATAGATAACAATACCCCTCATAACCAGGGTCTTGACGACCGCAAAAATTGATTCCAATTTTGAGGGCTGGTATCCCTCTTGTTCTTGTGCAACTTCCACCGCAGACTGAAAAATGGAAAACACAATATGATCTTCCACCTCTTATTACTACTTCTGCAATAGTATAGGTTCACTTTGGGTATCTGTACCTTTTCAAGCAGTGAACACATTTTAAATTCTACCACTATTGTCATAGAAATGTACGATAAATAAAAGTATTCCTGTGTCGAAACGTCTTTCCAGGCTAGCCGAAGTCATATTTCTTGCGTTGGATTTGAGGTTTTCACACCGGCGAGGTTGATGACGACTGTGTTCTACCAGACTACACGGCTGTGACTGAAATGGTCATGAAAGCATGACTATTCCTTGCAGGAAAACATACGGAATATGAAGATGGCTGTCTTCTGGGTTGATGGCCGTGTAGTCTGGTAGAAGTTTACGTTTTTAAATACAGAATAAAATATAGTACAGTTAAAACCAGCACAGAATGATTAATCGCAATACTAACGTCATTTTCCTGACTCCATGTAGAATCTGGAACATTTTGTTCATTAGAATTTACTGTGTCGATTTGTTCTCCATCCTCATAACAATTTTCACGACCACCATCATCAGCCATGATTAGTAAACTCTCGTTCTCAGACACATTTTCAATATCCATTTCAGCAATTTTAACTTAAACTTAATGTAAACGTATATGATTGGTACAGAGGTGTAATAAAATCGTATTTATCCTTTTATATAACTGTAGATTTTGTAAATAAATTCTTAAACCTTATCCAACTAGAGTTCAATAATGGCCGGTATAGCGCTGACCAACAATGTAGCTTAGCTGCGACATGGCGGGGTTTCGAGAAGTTGGTCGGCAACATTTCCCGCTAGAGGATATTCCGTCTATTGTGAGATTATTCAAGCAACAATTAGAAAGTTCATCTGAACCTGACTTGGCGCTGTTATCCATTGTTGTTGGGGCAGTTGAGAATTCGTTGACATGTAGTAGGATGTTAACTGTGCAGAAGGAAACGGACACGTTGGGTGAACCCAAGCTGCCCGCTGTCGAATATCATATTGCAGAAGCTTTGTATTCCAAATTTCATGCCATAATCAAAGGTGCTGTGGACTTAACACAGTACAGTGGCAGTAAGTATGCCACAAGAGAGCTTGTTAAAAAGGTATCAGATGTAGTCTGGAATTCGTTAACAAGGAGTTATTATAAAGACAGGGCTCACTTGCAAAGTCTCTACAGCTACTTGACAGGTGAGGCTGCTGTTTGTAATTATTCTTCGTTGGTAGTTCTTATATACAGCACAGTAATAGATTTAAATAACATTTATTAAATGTGTTGTTTAGGAAACAAGTTAGACTGTTTTGGAGTGGCATTTGCAGTGGTGGCTGGCTGTCAAGTGCTTGGCTACCAAGATGTTCATCTGGCATTGTCTGAAGATCATGCATGGGTTGTTTTTGGGGAAGGAGGATCAGAAACCGCTGAAGTCACATGGCATGGTAAGCATATTCTTATAGTTTACATATTGAAATGAGTGTCGTTTGATACTACTTTAACATTTCCACTACTTCCTTACAGGAAAAGGGAACGAAGACAAACGTGGTCAGCCAGTTGGCCCTGGCATGGGTTCAAGATCATGGTTATATGTGAATGGTTGCCCTGTAATTTGTACAAGGCCCATGGAGGTTGCAGCATTGGTGTCTGCTATCAATCCAAGTTTAAGTTCATCAAGTGATGCTATGGAAGTTGCACTTCTTCAGCAAGAACTTCTTTGGCTGCTTTATGATCTGGGTCATCTTACACATTATCCGATGGCTATAGGTAAGATAAACATATTTAGTTTAAATTTATTAAGGTAAAATGTTAAACTTTCCTAAAAATTGCATTTCAATAATGGACCTGCTTTAAACAGGTATTCTGCTATGTTGTTACAAGGTGTTCATATCAGAGGAGAGAAAATGCATGGAAAGTAATTTTAGGATTGGGGTTGTTTATGACTTCTTCATGTCACAACGCTCGGAGCCCTACAAATATTGACAGCATTAGAGTGAAATTTAGGTTAGGGTAGGATAGTTTCGTTTATATCATGTTTTTAACAAAATGTGAAAAGTTGGAGACACAATTTGTCTTGAAAAAAAGTTAAGTAACATTCATTTCATTACATGGGAAATAATTTGAATGGAATTGTGATTGCAGGAAACTTAAGTGATTTGGAAGAAGTGAGCCCCACGTCTGGACGTCCTCCGTGTTCCACCTTATTTCAAGAGGCAGCCATCTCAGCAAGAACATACTATAAAAATCAACATGTGTATCCCTACACTTACCAAGGTGGTTACTTCTACCGACATAAAATGTACAAAGAAGCGTTTCAAAGTTGGGCAAATGCTGCTGATGTTATCAGGTTGTAAGTAGAAAAATAAGTACCGTTTACTCTGTTAAGTTTCAGTTTTCCCATTATAATGACCCAATTTTGTGTTCTGCTGGGATTAATCATATTTTGTGAATGACAGCGTTGTATGGATTCCATGGCTGACATTTAGTCCCATTAAGAATTACCTGGAATTATTGCAGAATTAGAATATAATACTATCACATATTAAATGGAAGGAACATTGTAGTTGATCCTCTCGTGCGAAATGGTGTGAAAGGCACTGAAATAATCAATATTTGTTTGTATATTTATTTTAAATTTCTTTGTATGCAGTCATCTGGTTATATAGTATAATACTTTATGCAAAAGGATGAATTTGACAAATGGGGGACTTCATTGTGTAGCATTACAGTTTATCTGAAGAGTGCCCACTTTGCATAATGAATTGGTCTGCAAAGATTTTTTTATATTTCCTTTAAGGTATAATTACTCTCGAGATGATGAAGAAATTTACAAAGAGTTCTTGGAGATTGCTAACGAGTTGATTCCACACATCATGAAGGTGGTGAGCTCAGGCCATAGTGCTCGCTCAATCCTTAAGGATCCTGAATGCTTTGCGCATCTTCTCCGCTTCTACGACGGGATATGCCAATGGGAAGAGGGAAGCCCTACACCGGTGTTGCACATCGGCTGGGCAAAACCTCTCGTAAACACGATTTCCAAGTTCGACGCTGACGTGCGCGCCCAAGTGATCATAGAATGCCGTGGTGACGAATCGAGCGAGGGGTTTGAAGGCGCTGCTGCCGAGCATGACACAGATGGGAAGGATGATGGAGGAAAGAAGGAATTGCTTCTTACGCTACTCAAGGAGGACACCAGTTGTACAGATGAAGAAGTTATGAGTAACAACAAGAACAGCAGTGGAAGAGATGTGGCAGGAGATCCCAAGTACCTGAATAACGAGTATCTAAACAACAATAATTACTGCAAGACGAGGGAGGGTACGTAAAGTGAGATGAATCCGGTTCACACCCTTCAACCCAGTTTCTGTCTAATCCATTTTAATATTATACTCCCATCTGTGCCTAGGTATTCCAAGTAGCCGTAGTATTTACAACCAACAATTTTGTACAAAATTTCCCTCATGCCCATCTCATCCTCCCAATTTGATCATTCAAATAATATCTGGCGAACAGTACGCATTATGTTTGTTTTGTATACATATAAACAAAGAAAAAGATTACAAACTTGGAATTGGTGCACCAATTTGAGATAATTTTTGAAAATTTGCAGGTAATGGAAGCCTGTAAAAAAACTGCAAACAAGCATTCATAAAATTTAACCATGTAGCATCCATTTATAATTTATGATCATTTCCTTGCACTGTAGTATGTATTTAGAGGAGAAAACATGACTGTCCTTCCAGTATTGGGCTTTCAGGATTCTTCTATGTGCCGTCTGTTAACTTTAACCACATATACACTCATCTACTTGCTGAATTTCGCCATTGATATTTTAATTTTCTTTCGCAGGAGGTGTTGGCAACAGTACACGGGACATCATACGAACACTGGAATCAAAAGTTATCGGAGAAGAGGCAGGTAAACAGAAGTCGCAAGGAGGCGCTGAGGTGTTGGCTCCTCACCCAAGCATCGCTGCGCTCACAGCTGCATGCGGTGAAAAGATACTTAACCCAGAGTATCTTCTGCAGGGCGGTGGTGAGCCGTTCGTAGGAGCAGGCAGCATCGCTTCGGAGCCTAAAGTAACCACAGTACCAACATCAAATGGAGCACACAATCCTGGCCCTTCGAAACAGAACGCATCCCTTGGCAGTGGAAATGTAAGGGTTCGAGATCAGTCTGAGCTTAAGTCCCCAGGCAGACCGAGACTTACATTGCACAGCCAGAAGATGAAGGGTCTAAAAGACCTGTTACTAGCAGAAAAATTGAACACTCATGCCATTTCATTGCAGCTTACTGCACAGTCCCAGGTGCAGGTTAGTAGGAAAGGCCGAGGAAGTCGACGATCGAGTGACATATGTCTTCGTAACGCACTAGACAAAAAAACGTGCAAACCGAGTAATTAGTTGTTCATTTTGTTTCAAATTACAATTATTAGTTGTAAAAGGTCTTAAACTGTGAGTATGTGTTTAAGCTAGTCAGCTTATAGTTTTTTGGTGGTAAGTTGTGTTGACAGAGGTTGGTCACCCCACTTTTCCTTTCTCAGTAAAACTGTTTAAATTCAGGGTCACTCAGAACCCAGGATTTTGTCCAAAATTTATCTCACAGCTTACACAATTGCAGCGTTGTGGGCTTTCTGACGATCGTAACAGGAAGGGACTTCAAGATGTGCCGAGGCAGAACCATGGTACCACTCTAAAATCCAAAGAGTACTATAAAAACCTTGCCTAAAATACCAGTACAGTATACATTACATCCCACTCTTCCTCAGAAAGTCCTAACACTTATTTTTATCATAGATACTGTAAAAAGAAACTTTTTTCTAGTAAGGAAATTGTAAGAAAGTACAAATCTGATGTTTAAAAAAGGAACTCAAAAATGTATTTACGTATCTATTTTGTTAACTTGACGACTGCGACGTAAAAGGCTCGACTTCTTCGTAATTAAACGCGTACATGTAAATTTAACCGGGATGTATGGTCGGATCGTTAATCCTGTGTCGGTTTTTTGTAAATTTTCGCCGTCTCTTGTAGTTTTTAAGCATGTTTTTCTTCCTCCCTTAGACTTATTTAATGGTATGATATTAGATTGAGAACAGTGTCCCAGAGTCCTGAAAGGACTTTACTGTTGTTGGTTCCAGTTAAATTTACATCTAATGTACAGTGTCATCCCAAACCAGTATTAAATTTTTGGGGAAGAGTTTATAAAATGTGTTAGGCCATGTTTAAAACATGTTAAAGACTTCACTTGTTAGGCTTGATATCCCAGTCGTCGTGTTGTTGGCTATTAGGAAAAGAATTTCTTGTCATATAGAAGCCCCTAAAAAAATCTGGTGATAAAAACTATACCACGCAGAGTTAAATCATAAAAATGTTTAGCGTTTAGAACAGTGTGAAGTAAAGTTTTAACATAGATGAATGTTCTCTTTCATGGTTAAGGTTGTGTTTGCTACTGTTCTGAGAAAATCATAATTTTTGGAATAAGCTCGCACGTATAGGGAGGGACATATAAGTGAATTTAGTTCCCCAGATGCATATGTTTATAGATGCAAGTCAAGAACATGTATATTTTATGCTTTCAGCACATAATGCAGCACTACTAACAAAAAAATCTCCTGTAAATGCTTTACTCTCTAAGATAAGTTTCATAATTCAGATGAGCTGTCTTAAGAAAAAACTGATTATGTCGGTATTTGTTATATGATGTAACCCTAACAGATAAGGTATAGAGTAGCGTACTCCATAGGTTGTTCCCAGTGACATTCCAAATGTGCAGTTTCTATTTCATCATTCCTATGGATTTAAAACTTACCAAGTATTAACATAAATTTTGTCTGTATTTAATTTGAATTTGTAACTGTGTGACTAATATTCAGAATTCAAATATTTTGCAAATTGAATTTTTATTGTAACTTCATTCAATTTTTATAAAGAAATTGTGGGAAAGAATACCTAATACAAATATATATATGAGGAAATTCCATATGTGTATTTCACGCATACAATAGTTTGTTAACGTAACTTACACGTCTTCAAGTTAAATGTGTTTTTAGATATTTGGGGGTTGACTTGTTGAATGGAAGTCTTAAGTTTCAGTATTCAACTTAGTTCTTCATATTTTAACATTTCTGTTCATAGATGATCATAGAAATGCAGTTGCTTACTAATGTCTGATATGAGTTACATGGAAGTATTTGATAGTTGAGGTTTAGATGAATATGTTTTAATATAACCAACACCTAAAATAATATATGTGTAGTTTCAGTATAGCGTAAAATAGGGTGCAAAGCGAAACCAAATTTATTTTTTAAGATGATTTGTCTTCTGGTTTGTCGCGTAGTCTGGTAGAAGTTTGCCACTGTTTCACTAAGTTATACCAGCTCACATTTCTGGTCGTGATTAAAAATAAGATATTTCGGAATTGATCTGGTTCATCGGAGCATATTAGTAGCCTATTTTTATAGCCGTAACAACTCTGTATTATTTTAGAATTCCCGTGTTTATCCTGCATCTCCTAGAGAAGTCTAGCTGAGACTATGTGAATATTATTTTGTGGAAATTTGCCATATTATTTATTTGACTGTTCCCAACCTGTTATTAAATAGTGAGAAAAATACCTCTTTATTCACTGTATCCATTTTTATTAAGCATATTTTACAGATGGAGAATGCTTTAAGTATTTCTTTTAGATATAGTCCATTATTATGAATTTTCCTTCTTGGCAATGGAAGGTGATGGAACGATATTGACGATAGTTTTAAGATTTAACTAGTAGATATGATGTCCCAAACAATAGGAAACATGAAGTTTGATCTGATTAGCCTAGAGTTTTGAACACTGTTGATTGCAATATGTGACTGTTGTGATGAATGTCGAGAGGTATGTTGAAACTCTGTGACGGATTTTTATTTTTTGAAGTATTAAATTAAGGTGAAAACATGTTAAAAATTGTGTAGGATACGAAAGGGCCGTGAAGACTGTGATTTCGTGAGTGACTAAAAAATAAGAAAATGAAATCAGTATTTTTGTAAGAAGAAAAGTCACTTATGAATTAAGTAGCTAGTTAAGATTAATTTGTGTACCTTTTTTTATCTGTGCAGTAAAACACGTTTAATTTGACCATGTCTAGAAGACGGTTTGTTACTGTTTGTTAAAAGGTTGTTTGTAAAGTATCATACGATGTGGCAGAAAGGAGATGAGCATGTATATATTGGCACAGACTGTAAATTTTTTTCCTTCCTCCAGAGGATGTTCAAAGTTGTCATAGTGTACCAGTAGCTCTGGAATGTTCATGTTCTTTGTGTGGGTGAAAGCAAGTACCTGAATGTCAGACCTAGTGGAGACAGATTAATGATCGCAGATCTTTAAGAAATATTCTGAATTAATATAATATATGAATCTCCATTTTTAAGGGTTTTACGCTAATATGAACAGTGAAAATATTTATGTAATGGAAAAGAGAAAAATACAAAGTTCCCAAAAAGGAACCATTTAGCTGCAGTACCTACAGATAGTGTAACCTCTGCGTATGCCACAGTTTCAGGTGTAATCTGATTATAAAGTACCTCCCCCCCGTCATTAATGTTGAATAATATGGCTCGAGAAGAATGGGATGGGTGGGGAATGTAGCACGCATGGATGGGACAAGAGGTTTGCACCGGGTATTGATTGGGAAGCCTGAGGGGAAGAGACAGCTGGGGAGACTGGATTTTGTTGGCCCAGGACAGGGTCCGGTGGATGGGTTTAGTTAATTCGGTGATGAACCTTCGGGTTCGGTAAGCCATGTAGTTAGTTAATATGGCATATGTACTGGTATAATAATAAATTAAAGTTAACCACAATTATTGGTATGAATTATGTCAGCTGGAAAGTATTAACGGCCAGTTTTTTAAATCCTTCTTGAAGTAATTTTATAAGCCCTTCTATAAAGAATCGTCAGAGCATTTACTCTGTTTATTATTTAACAAATGTTTTTGTATCATGTTTTGTGACCATTTAAAGTGAAGTACAGAAGTACGTAGAGGTGCGTGTATTTTTACAGTAACCTATGCGAACTGGTTATCTGGATTCACTTTCCATCAGATTCTAAATATATCTGCAATTAACACGTCCATGACACTTGAACTTTAATTTTGTACTTATTTTTATGTCTTTGGGATCTCATTCCAACAAGTGCCCACTGTTTTCTGTATCTCTAGCTATAGTGGTGATATTCAGTTGTAATGGTCAGTGGTGGTAGTTGACGAGTCTATTAGAGGGAATGACGTATTGAAATGGTGAGACCATAATGATATGTTTAGTCACCTTTGTCACAAGGTTCTCTAAATATTGGTAAATGTAAACCATTTACAGTGACTTACAGGTAAAATACTTCGATGATGTTTCGGAAGTAAAAAAAAGAACAGTTGTTGCACATATGATGTGAACTTTTAAACAAGTCATTTTGTGCCAGTGGCATAATTACACATTGTTTTCAAAACATATTATATAAGGCTGTTAGATTTTCATATAGGCTATGGAAACTAAACTGAACTAGATACCCTTACGTGATAAAACAAAAATGATTAGCTATGTAATGGAGTACACTGTATTTTGTTATTTGATCTTATGTGTTTGAACAATAAATCATAAAACTAAAGTTGACAATGGAATTAGTACATGAATTGAATCGATCGTGATGTTTGAGGTCAGATTAATCTAGTTTTACTGCAGTTTGATTTATCGGGCATATAATTAGTCGCAGCAAGTGACAATGATAAGACTGTTGTGCTTGAATGTAGCAGCCTGGTGATTGGGGCAATACACAGTGGCTTGTGGTGCATGGTGATCTTATTTGTGGTAGTGTTCTACTAGTTTTACTATGGTGCAATGACATCAAACATGCTTCATTCAGAAACATAGTGCCTCTTTAGAAATTTGTTTGGTTCTCAGGAACCTGGTTTGATGTTTATATCAAGTTCTGTATAAAGTAGTCTATTTATGGATGTGCAACCATAACTGTTTTCATCAGTTGATTTGTTACAAGGTTTCATTATCAGCATCTTTGTTTTTCAACATTTTATACTAGAATAACCGGAGATCTTGTGCAACATAATGTCACAAAGGCAATTCAGTAAGACGCATAAGTGCTGTAATAAAATGGGCAGCATATATCTTTGTCATTTTGTGCATAGAACTGAAAAAGCGCAAAGCATTTTCACTTTTCAGATGCAATATTTTATCATCATGTTTAAAAGATCTGGCACATAAAACTTGTAAGTTGACTTCAGATTTTTGACTTAATGTATCTTAAGGAACTCATGATTCATTGTGTTAAACTGTGTTTACACTTCAAAATAGAGTAGTTTTCAATTACGTTTTAGCTGTTCATTTTATTTTCTTCCATTTTAAATTGAGTTTGACTAATG